GCTGCCTTCCCTCTAGTCTTACACTACTAAATTAGGGACGGCTAGCGCAGATAGCCCTCGTGTAGCTTTGCGGGAAATTCATAATACATACCAATCCTTTCTTTCTCAGGGTTCTGGCAGTTCGATCTGCATCACTTGTACATTCCTGATTTTTTCCAGGTTCGTAGCTGCCCTGGTTGGGAAGTTATTGTTGTTTTAACGCAAAACTTCACAATAGGCTAACTGGATATTATAATTGTAAATCTAAATTTATAGCTGACTCGCCAGAAGACTCAGAGTGAGATATTGTTTGATTCTTTTACAAATTAAAGTCTCATGGCCATCTTCACTACTTTTTTTTTACAATAGTGTTTGCTAAATTTTTAATATCTATGACTTTTACGTGAAAAACTAAACATTCCCTACTCAGTGTATCGACTATATGGTTTCGAATCCCGATGATACTTCAATAACTGGGCTTTAAATTTAACATTAAAGAAATGTAGTGTATATAGTCCTTTTAAACAAAAATGAGCAGATTTATTAAAATAAAATAAAAATATAGAGATTTGGAATGTTTCATGACGATGTGTAGGACGCTCTCGGATAATGTGAATAACTTAATCTATGTCATTTTACATACTGAAAATGTTTCTCAGAAATGTATAAGTGAGACAGTTGATTCAAACGTAAAGTTTCATGGAAAATGAAAGTGAGGAAGGGGGAAAAATAACTTCGAAACATCATATCTATTAGAAAATGAAAGGGGAGGAAATAACTTCGAAACATCATATCTATTAGAAAACGAAAGTGTTGGAAAAAGGGGGAGGAAATAACCTCGAAACATCATACCTATTATAAAATGAAAGGGGAGGAAATAACCTCGAAACATCATATCTATTAAAATTTGAAAGGGGAGGAAATAACCTCGAAACATCATATCTATTGGAAAATGAAAGAGGAGGAAATAACCTCGAAACATCATATCTATTAGAAAATGAAAGGGGAGGAAATAACCTCGAAACATCATATCTATTAGAAAATGAAAGGGGAGGAAATAACCTCGAAACATCATATCTATTAGAAAATGAAAGGGGAGGAAATAACCTCGAAACATCATATCTATTGGAAAATGAAAGGGGAGGAAATAACCTCGAAACATCATATCTATTGGAAAATGAAAGAGGAGGAAATAACCTCGAAACATCATATCTATTGGAAAATGAAAGGGGAGCAAATAACCTCGAAACATCATATCTATTAGAAAATGAAAGGGGAGGAAATAACCTCGAAAGATCATATCTATTAGACTGTTTGAAGAACAATGTTTAAAGAATATTTTCCTTTATTTGACTTTTTATCAGATATATACAAGTTAAACATTTCGAAATATTAGATATATGTGTTTCTGTGTATATGTTTATTACACATCGTCTTCATAACAAGAATCTAAAGAATAAATTATCATTCAAAGTCAAGATTCTACTGGCTTTTTATAAGAAGTCAAACACAACAAGTATATTCGAGTTGAAGCTCACCTATAAGGTCTAACGCAGCGCCACCTGCGGAACATTTGTGCATATTTATATGCAAAGACAAACCCTACTTAAAGTTGCTGAATGGGTTTCAGTATCAGTAGATTATATATGCAGCCTAGAAAAAATATATATTGGGGTCTTTTTTCGGACATTATTTCAAAGGGGTAAACTTATGTACTTTTCTAAAGTGTAATAATAAACACAAGTAATTATTTCAAAGAAGTAAACTTATGTACTCTTCCAAAGTGTAATAATAAACACGAGTAATTATTTCAAAGGAGTAAACTTATGTACTTTTCCAAAGTGTAATAATAAACACAAGTAATTATTTCAAAGAAGTAAACTTATGTACTTTTCCAAAGTGTAATAATGAACACGAGTAATTATTTCAAAGGAGTAAACTTATGTACTCTTCCAAAGTGTAATAATAAACACAAGTAATTATTTCAAAGGAGTAAACTTATGTACTTTTCCAAAGTGTAATAATAAACACGAGTAATTATTTCAAAGGAGTAAACTTATGTACTTTTCCAAAGTGTAATAATAAACACGAGTAATTATTTCAAAGAAGTAAACTTATGTACTTTTTCCAAAGTGTAATAATAAACACGAGTAATTATTTCAAAGGAGTAAACTTATGTACTTTCCCAAAATGTAATAATAAACACGAGTAATTATTTCAAAAAAGTAAACTTATGTACTTTCCAAAGTGTAATAATAAACACGAGTAATTATTTCAAAGAAGTAAACTTATGTACTTTTTCCAAAGTGTAATAATAAACACGAGTAAAAAAATGCACAGTTATTTCCTACGTAAATGTAGATTTTTTTATGCTTATCTTTTATAGTCATTTCTTGTAAATATACTTCTGGACATTTTCATCTACGTTCGCGAGCTAACTTCATTAAACTCATTCTGTTCCTGTACATGTTCTCAAATTAATTCACACGACTAGTTCTGTTATCACGTCTTTAAACTGGAAGTTCCCGTACATGTTACATGAAGATTTAATGTGTTACACATCAAATCAGACACTTGATTTATGTCAAACACTTATCACCGTTTTTAAAAAGATTGTGGGATACTTGATCCACATGTATTTTAAACTTTACGACTGTATTAAAACAGTCTTTGGTCTACTGATAAGATATCTCGTGTTTATCTGTTCGCCATCACGTTAACGTTTAAATTTAAATAGTGATAATTGCTGTGGAACGTGAGGCCGGGAAAGCAATAGAATCGATAAACGGTGATAGTTTCTTATAAAAACTCCTTTGTACATTATAGTCTTGTAACAACGAAATTAAATGTGTGAAACCTGGTAATACATAAAAACCCTGGTTCTCATTTGGCTATCGTAGTGACTTTGCTACGTAATGCATGCTACAGCGCTTATGTAATACACTTGAACATAAACTGTAGAACTATCTAACATAAATTGCTGATAAGCCTAAGGTGAAGTTTGAACTATGTACACTCTGTAATGTCAAACACAGCATGTGTGAAACTATACCGATCATAGTCCAGGTTTGGTATAACTCTGTACACTCTGTAATGTCAAACACAGCATGTGTGAAACTATACCGATCAGAGTCCAGGTTTGGAATAACTCTGTACACTTTGTAATGTCAAACACAGTATGTCGACACGTGAAAGTATACCGATCAGAGTCCAGGTTTGGTATAACTATGTACACTTTGTAATGTCCAACACAGCATGTCAACACGTGAAACTATACCGATCAGAGTCCAGGTTTGGTATAACTATGTCCACTATGTAATGTCAGATCCAACAGGTCGATATATGAAACTATACCGGTCAGAGTTCAGATTTAGTATAACCATGTCCACTCTGTAATGTCAGATCCAACAGGTTGACATATGAAACTATACCAGACAGAGTTCAGATTTAATATAACTATGTCCACTTTGTCATGTCAGATCCAATGGGTCGATGTGTGAAACTATAGTTGTTAGAGTTCAGAATTAGTATAACTATGTCCACTATGTAATGTCATATCCAACAGGTCGATATATGAAACTATACCGGTCAGAGTTCAGATTTAGTATAACCATGTCCACTCTGTAATGTCAGATCCAACAGATTGACATATGAAACTATACCAGACAGAGTTCAGATTTAATATAACTATGTCCACTTTGTCATGTCAGATCTAATAGGTTGATATGTGAAACTATAGTTTTTAGAGTTCAGAATTAGTATAACTATGTCTACTCTGTAATGTCAGATCTAATAGGTTGATATGTGAAACCATAGTTGTTAGAGTTCAGGTTTCGTATAACTATGTCCACTCTGTAATGTCAGATCTAATAGGTTGATATGTGAAACCATAGTTGTTAGAGTTCAGGTTTCGTATAACTATGTCCACTCTGTAATGTCAGATCTAATAGGTTGATATGTGAAACCATAGTTGTTAGAGTTCAGGTTTCGTATAACTATGTCCACTCTGTAATGTCAGATCTAATTATGGTTTCACATATCAACCTAGTAGATCTGACATTACAGAGTGGACATAGTTATACAAAACCTGAACTCTAACAACTATAATTTCACATATCAACCTGTTGTTAGAGTTCAGGTTTCGTATAACTATGTCCACTCTGTAATGTCAGATCTAATAGGTTGATATGTGAAACTATAGTTGTTAGAGTTCAGAATTAGTATAACTATGTCCACTCTGTAATGTCAGATCTAAGAGGTCGATATGTGAAACTATAGTTGTTAGAGTTCAGAATTAGTATAACTATGTCCACTCTGTAATGTCAG